TGCACCACAGTAATGACTCCTTTCTGAAACAGAACAGAAACAGACTCCTTCTTTCCTCCTAACTCTTGCTCTGGTGAAGACCCAAATCGCGGAACATCACCACCTGGTGGACAAATACAAAAACACTTTGGGCCCTAACAGTGAGGAAAAAGGCTAAGAAAATCACTTTGGACCCCTCACACCCAGCCCACTCTCTCTTTCAACTATTGCCCTTTGGTTGGCGCTACAGAGCACCGACCACCAGAACAGCCAGGCACAAGGACAGTTTTTTTCCCCGCAGGCTATATTCAGCCTGAACAATTAAACATTCATAACTGTACATTGTTCATTATAACTGACACATTTATACATAGCATCTGAAAATTGTACATTTGTAAACTACATAAACAGTACACTTGTAAATAACATATCTGTACATTAATTAAAACAATTATGTTTTTTCTCTATATTTCTACTTATGTATTATATTGCATATAAATAATATCATATATGTTTGCACTATATCTGTACTCTCTTCTGCACTGGAAGCTCCTGTCGCCAAGACAAATTCCTTGTGTGTAAACATTCTTGGCAATAAAGCTCTTTCTGACTTCTGACTCCTGACTTCTGACTTCTGTGAAGTTTAATGTTTTGATAGTTTGCGTATTTTGGTAATAACATAAAATGTTTGCTTATTTTCTGATGAATACATATTCATGTATATAACAATTGCAAAATCAATAAACATGGTTCATTAATCAGCATTTTTACTTTTAATACTTACTATAAGTACATTAAAAATCCAAGTACTTTCTTTACTTATACTATATACTGTATATAGCAGTCCGATGTCCAGTATCGTTCTAACTAATAGATATTTTTCAGGCGGTGCTCTCCTTGTGTGCCCTGTGACTGATCCTGGGGTCACAAAGGTCAAGGTTTTGCTGCCAGGGTCTGATGAGGTAAGCCTAATTTCCATATGCATTGTACATATACATTGTACTGAAAGTTAAAGTGCATTCATAAGAGATATACAAGGGTGCCAGAACTCTGGATCTGCCAGTTACTCTGAACACTGTGAGTGACTCCCATTACATCTCTGATACAGCAGTCTACCGAATACTAGCAATCTTACAGGGTTATTTAGGTATATATTCTGTGTTAGGTGCCCGTGTTCCAGCGTGGGGGGACAGTGGTGCCCAGGAGAGCAGGTTGTGGGTCCAGTACAGCAGACTTACAGCAGCACCCAATCACTCTCACTGTGGCCCTGGACACTAAGGTGACACATGACAATACAACAGAAAGTACTGGATGGTACCATAGTACGAGTCAGGGATGGAATCACATTTTAATACCAATATATACACTACCATTCAAAAGTTTGGGGTCAGTAAGGGAATTAATATTTTTATTCAGCAAGGATGCATTAAATAGGTCAAAAGTGACAGTCAAGAAATGTATGATGTTAAAAAAAGATTTATGTTTCAAATGAATGCTGCTCTCTTGAACTTTCTATTTATCAAGAATACTGAAAAAAATGTATCATGGTTTCCACAAAAATATTAAATCGCACAACTGTTTTCAACATTGTTAATAATAATTGTTTCAAATGTTACTTGAGCAGCAAGCAAGACCGGTGTAATGGCTGCTGAAAATGTACTGCCAATGTCTCTACATCTCTCCAAACTGCTTAAGAAACCTGGTTTGGATCCTAATGAACCAAATAATTACCGTCCCATATCCAACCTCCCATTCATTACTAAACTATTAGAACGGACTATTGCAACTCAACTTCAGGGTCATCTTCATAACAATAACCTTGATGAACCTTTTCAGTCTGGTTTTCGCCAGAACCATAGCACTGAACAGCCCTGGTAAAAATCACTAACAATCTTTTACTTGCAGCTGACAACAGCCTTCTATCCATCCTGATCCTTCTTGACCTCACCGCAGCCTATGACACCATTTCCCACTCAATTCTTTTGGAACATTTGGCTGCCATTGGGATCACTTATAATGCACTAGTCTGGTTCAGGTCGTATCTATGCAATAGAAAATATTTCATTCAGGGAAAAATTGTCGCGTCAAAATACATTCAATCAGTCCATTTGTCACAGTCACATGGTGTTCCTCAGGGTTCAGTGCTGGGACCATTGCTTTTTATCATCTATATATTACCTCTTGGCAATATTCTCCATTATTTTGGGATCAATTTTCACTGCTACGCGGATGATACACAACTCTGCCTTTCCACAAAATCAAACGTTTCTCTTTATCTGGACGACGGCTACTCTTTTAGTTACAGAGACCAAACGCAGTTCTGTCTGCGCCATTTTACCATGAGAGCTGGCAGGCTTGTCAACAGGTAATGGCCCAACATCACTTTTAATTTCCATCAATCAATCAGTCTATCTATCTATCTATATATCTATGTATTTATATATATATATATATATATATATGTTTGAACCTTGGGGGCTATTTACTAGGAATAGAAATTTGCTTAAAAAAAGTATAAATTTGATTTAAAATAAAAGTTAGAACAGGTTATATAGCATTGTGTGTTTTCAGAGAGCTCAATATGCCATTCTCCTTGTGCCATGTATTTTCAGCTGTGCTGATGATCAAGGCTCGTTTGTCTCAGATGACAAAGTGGAATCAGTGGTCATTCTTGGTCTGAATAGTTTGAAGAGAAAACCCAAGCTCAAATCAGGTGTGAAGTTACCTTTTGTGGTAACTTAGTGGAATACTTCACACATAAATAATGTGGTGTTAGATATAAACCAGAGAGTTGTCACTAAACCTCCTGTTTCTCTCTGTTTCTCTCTTTAAGGTGTGCAGAAGACAGCAGTTATGTTTGAATTCGATGTAAAGCGAGGTGTGTTAACTTTAACTGGATAGGACCTAGAAATACACAAAGACTGGGAAATAGTAATATAGTGGATGGTATTTTTTTAATTACCAGGATTTTTAAAAAAATGATTATTTTACACTTGTTTACAATTTTGTTGTTTTACAGTATTTCAGATGCTGTTCACAGCCACTTGCAACTGCAATAAAAAGTTATAACTTGGTTAGTTAAATCAGCACTTTAATATTGGAATGTATTATTAAAGACTCCCTCCACAATGATTATCTACCTCAAGACATCTAATAACATGATATGATTTTAATGGCTGGGTTGTTTTAACATGAATTATTAGCCATTTTTCTTTGCCACACTTAAGTGATATTGTAGAGTTGACATGATGGAGGTGAAATAAGTTTTCAAAATAGAAGACATTGTGTAAAAAAAAATCTTAATTTCTAAATAAAGAATAATAATAAATAAATAAATAATAAAGAGTAATATGTTTTTTATGATTCATGTACTCTATTGTTCAAAAGTGTGGGGTTAGTAAGATAATTTGTTTTAAATAAATAATTTTTATTCAGCAAGGATGCATTAAATTGATGAAAAGTAAACAGTAAAGACATTTGTAATGTTACAAAATAATTGTATTTTAAATAAATGCTGTTCTTTTGAATTTTGTATTAATCAAATCATCCTGAATCACAAAATCAGGATTAATCACAAAAATGTGTAATAAAAATAAAAGAAATACTACTTGAGCACCAAATCAGCATATAGATATAAAGTCGCAATAACAAGAAATATTCAAAATGTGAGATGTAAAGTGACAATTAAGAGAAATGAAAGTCACATTGTAAGATACTGTATAAATTCGCATTTGAGAGAAATAGTCACATTGTGAGACAAAAAGACGCAAATACAAGAAATAGTCAAAATTTGAGATATAAAGTCACAATTATGAGAAATGAAAGTCACACTGTAAGATACGGTATAAAGTCGCATTTGAGAAAAATCATTTTGAGATGAAAAGTCACAATTGTGGAAAATAAAGTCACACTGTGAGATATAAAGTTGCAATCGTGCGAAATAAAAAAACAATTGTGAAAAGTGAAAATGAGATATAGTCACAATTGCCAGAAATAAAGGTGCAATTATATATATTGTCACAATTACAAGAAATTAAATTTGCACAGAAATAGGCAATTACCATATTATTGTTAATATTATTTTTAATCTGAGGTGGAAACAGGTTCCCATACTTCTAACTTAAAACCTTGTGACAACTAGTCTGTCCATCCATCCATTGATTCATCCAAAACATCAGAAATAATCAGAAACAGTATCACTCTTTGTATCTCTGAAGCTCTTGTATCACTTAGAAACAAACTCTTTGATGATGTGTGTCCTGCAGGAGATATGTGATAACCCAGAGTTCATTGTCGGAGGCGCTAGCAGGACAGATATCTGCCAGGGAGACCTGGGTAAGATAACATATTAACACATTAACACACTATTGTTACAAATTGTTTAACTGATCTTTGGGAAGTGTTTTTAGGGTCACATTGCAACTTCATGGCAGTGAGCACCTCTCTGGCTCCCCATATGCAGACCTACAGTCCAGTGGGACCCCTCCATATTGTGCTTACTCTGTTGGAAGGGAATCCAACTAGCAGCGCTTTCTATTGTTGTGACCCCACATGCGCAATAAAAGAGACCAAAGACACAAAGCTTGCTAATACATAGAGTAGATTACCAACCTGGCATGTTTCCCTGGACAGTGTAAAAATGCAGAGTTCAGCAGTGTAGGCCCGTTTTACTGCAAATAGGTCTATGTGTACAGTATTAAATATTCCCCACTGATGTGAGATATTATTTTCTATTCATTTTAGGAGACTGCTGGTTGCTTGCAGCCATTGCATCCTTGACTCTGAACGACAAGCTGCTGTATCGTGTTGTACCTCATGAGCAGAGCTTCTCTGAAGGCTATGCTGGAATTTTCCATTTCCAGGTCGGTGTCATTGAGCAAAGTAGCTTTTGAATTTATATCTTCATTACATCTGATTTCTGTGTCTTCCTATGTCTGTTTTCCACCTCAGTTCTGGCATTATGGCGACTGGGTGGATGTCGTTGTTGATGACCGCATTCCCACCATCAACAACCAGCTGGTGTTCACCAAGTCTGCTGAAAGAAATGAATTCTGGAGTGCTCTGCTGGAGAAAGCTTATGCTAAGCAAGTATCTGTGCATGGCATTTACTTCATCTGTTTTGGAATTGGTCAGGCCTTAAAATTCAAAAGCTGTAGAACATCTTTTAAGATTTTATTGATATGAAATGTATAAATACGTGGGCCATTTTGAGGAAACCGCACAATTTGTTTGTAAATATCATATTGTCCATACCCACAATCTTACAAATGCAGTTACAGCTTGCAAAGTAAGTTGTTGTAGTATCATTCCCTTTCACCTTCACACATAATCTTTTGTGTGTTATAAACTTTCAATTATCAGAATGAAAGTCTGAATTGCGAGATATAAACTTGCAATTAAGACTTTCATTCTGAGAATTGCAAGTTTATTACACACAATTCTGACATAATTTCTTGCATTTCAAGAAATATCCTCTAAAATCTTATAATTCTGACTTTTTCTTAGAATTCTTAGATTATATTTATTTTAAGGGGTGCCTAATTTTGTGAATGAAAGGATCTCTCTGTACCACCAAATGCATATCAGTAAATGTTTTGGTATATTCCATTTCTTAATCATATTAATGCACGAAATCCCATATTACATTTATGAAATGGTGATGCATGATGACATGCAAATGGAATACAAACATTAAAAAGATATTTACAGAGTTCTGGCATGAAACTCTAGATGGCACAGTCCGATAGGTCTAACTCAATCTGACATAATGCCATCATTATCACAAGGCACAGCTGATTGGTTCTCTGTATCGGTAGCCAATGAGCTTGCTGCTCAACATTCAAATATATGAATAGTGCTTGCCGTAGGAGTTGCAGCTTGCTTCAGAAACCCTCCACCTTCCCCAGCTCCACCTGTATAGATCTGCTACGAGGTGATTCATGTATGTTATATTTGCAGCAGCAATATTTCTTACATGCTCACAGCAGCATGTTGTGGATGTATTGGCAGTAGCAAGTCTCGGTACTTGCTCTGCCGCAGCAGCAGCAGCGTAGCAGATCTATTCTGCCAAATACATTAACATTGTCATGTACATTACCATGCCAGTCCCTCCGAGAGTTGTCATGACAGAAATATATTTTAATTTAAAAGCCCTTTAGAATTACATACTTAATCGAGCTGTATAAAATAAATTGAGCGTTGTGAAAATGTTCTGTATCTTTTTCATGATATCAGTAATGGGGACACACATAAACACAGATAGAACAAATTCCTGAGAATGACCCTATTCTCAAATAGCAGATATTAATTTTTAGCACATAATACTTTTTTAAAGAAAGTATTATATCCAAAAGTAACTGTACAATAACAGAAGTACAGCAGGAATTAATTATCTTTAATCTGTACACACAGCACCTGAAAAAACGAAGTGTGTTATACTCTTCCAACACTTTCACACTTACTTTATTTTTGCCAGTAAGGTCTCTCAATGTAATTTGTGTATTCCTGTTAAGGCTTCATGGTTCCTATGAGGCTCTTAAAGGAGGAAACACTGCTGAGGGGATGGAGGACTTCACCGGTGGAGTGACTGAATTCTATGAGATGAAGGAGGCCCCTAAAGAGCTGTATAAGATCATGAAGAAAGCTCTGGAGAGAGGCTCCCTCATGGGCTGCTCCATTGATGTGAGTCAAGCAGAAGAAGGAAGCTTAAAATCCTCTATTTTGAAACACCATTTATATATATATTAATAAAAACGATGATAACTTTTGGTCCAAATCATAGTATTATACCATAAAGCAATACAATTTTTACCCACAGTCCCTGGTTCCAGCCCGCTTTGCAACTCGTACTACAACAGGACTTGTGACGGGTCATGCCTACTCTGTTACTGCTGTAGAGGAGGTAAACATTCTGTTATTTGGTACTTTTAAGATTATTTCTTCCAAAATAGTCCTGCTTCTAACTTCTAAGTGTCTGATGATATTTGTGATGTTTTGTGTCTGCAGTGTAAACAGTCCCAGCATAAGGAGTCTAAAGTTCGTTTGGTGCGTGTGCGTAACCCTTGGGGTCAGGTAGAATGGAATGGACCTTGGAGCGATAAGTGAGTATCTGCTTATTCCAGAATTTAAACCTGTTTAGCCTACTGCATCATATTTGATATGCATATTTCTAAGACCCCTTAATTATCAGCATGTTCAAAACTTTGCACACAATCTACTGCATGCATTCTGACATCTGATAGAAGAAAAAAGTTTTGCTAAAAAAAAGTTTATACCTTTTAAAGGCCTTTTAGTATAATTGTAAAAATGTCCACCATCAGGTCATGGTACATGTGTCTTTTTTTCTGTGAAATCTTCATAAAGATTTATAAAGCAAGTGTAAGAATACACGTAGGCTTCTGAGGAATGTTTATTTGTATTTCTCTCAATAATCATTGTACTGAATTGCATTGCATGTTTTGCCTCCCACAATAAAAACTACAGCGCTTTGGTTATAAAGACATATTATTGGGAGATATAGAGTGACAACTGATATTTATATGCATTTTATCTAAGTAGTCTGCTTTAATGCTTTAATGATTTACATTACAGACTACCAGAATTTCATTCTACTTTTTGGCTATACTGAATAATTTTTTTTTTTTACTTGAGTATGAGCTCCATATTTTCTTATATCATACTATAATGAGCCATAAAAGCCTAATGTATTAAATATGATACTCAACAAAGGACTTACAGTATATGCTATTTTATTTTTAGATTTTATCTTTTTTTTTCTAAAGGTTGAATAAACTTAAAAGTTTTAAAAAAGCATATGCCAGTCTTTACAGGGTTAAAAAGTAGATGTTAGTATTCAATTGTTACAATCATTTCTTTTCTTTTCTTTTTTTACTGCAGTTCAAAAGAGTGGGAAAACCTCTCTAAAGGAGAAAAAGAGAAACTTCAGCATCAGAATGCTGAAGATGGAGAATTCTGGTGAGTTAAAGCATTCAAGCAAACATTTCCTTATGATGAAGGTATTCACATAGAGAAAGTTTTAACTTTGGTCAACCTGTAGGATGTCATTTGAGGATTTTAAGAAAAATTACACCAAAATTGAGATTTGCAACATGACCCCCGATGCCCTGGAGGACGATAAGTTACACAAATGGACCGTGTCTGTTAATGAGGGACACTGGGTAAGAGGATGCTCTGCTGGAGGATGCAGGAATTATCCAGGTAGGTGTTATTTTAATGAATTGAAACTGGAATAAAAAAAAAGAATGAAATAAATAGCTAATCATTTATTTAATATTTTAATTATATAAATTTTACATTTAATTTATATAGCAACTTTCATGCACCTAAAGGTGCTCCACAGGTTAAAAATATGAAAGAAAACAAAAACAATAATGACTTTAATATTATATGCGTGGTCTCCTATAGAAACGTTCTGGACAAATCCACAATACCGCCTGCGTCTCTTGGAGGAAGATGATGACCCGGAGGATGATGAAGAGGCTTGCACTTTTGTTGTTGCTCTAATGCAGAAAAACAGGCGTAGAGAACGCAAGTTGGGTGCTAATCTCTTCACTATTGGATTTTCCATCTATGAGGTATCAATCACCATATTTAGCCTTCAAAAAGATAATATACATAATGCATTTTTATCTTGTCATTACCAGCGAGAAATTATGAAAATAGCAGCATTCATCACAAATAATGATAAATATCAGGTTGATAATGTATCCAACACTCTTTTAACTTTTTCCATTTGTCCATAGGTTCCAAAGGAGGTATGAAGACAATGAATGTTTGGACTCGAGGCTTGTGGATATCATGCTGTTCATACAATGCTATCTCTTTAGCATTCCAAGTTCCTTTGTGCTTTTATAGACATTTACCTGTGTTTTATAGATAGAATATAAATTACTTTGTCACTGATCAAATTCCTTTTTTGCTGTTGTGTTTTTTGTTTTTTTGTGTGTCTGTCTGTCAGATGCACGGAAACAAGCAGCACATGCAGAAGGAGTTCTTCATGTCTAGCACCTTTAAGGCTCGTTCCAGGGCCTACATTAACCTGCGTGAGGTGACCCAGCGTTTCCGTCTGAGCCCTGGAGAGTATGTCATCGTTCCCTCCACCTACGAGCCCCACCAGGAAGGCGAGTTCATCCTCCGCGTCTTCTCTGAAAAGAGAAATACCTCTGAGTGAGTGAGAGCAGAAGGGATGGTAGGGGTGTTTGTTTTTGTTTTTTTAATTGTACAATGTCTACATGTACATGAGTACATTTTTCCTCACACAGCAAAAAAAGATGCATTTTCTTAATCAGTATTTTTGTCTTGTTTTCAGAAAATATATCTAAACATCCTTAAACAGGATGATTATATGAGAAACAAAATAAAAAAGAAACTAAAAATAGGATTTTCTCTGAAAATGTAACGTTATCTTTCATATTTTGTATTCTTAAGTGAAATCGAAATTTTTTACTGGAAAATAAAACAATGCTGGTTAAGGGGCCGTTCACACAGAATGCGTTTTTGGATTCCACTGTGCCGCTTTTTCATTGGTTGCTTTTACGGTTGAGTTTGATCGTTTGCTCTCCCGTCTCGTGTCTTATGTAGCATCTCACACATGACACTTTTTAAAAATGTGGCACTCAGATAAATTCCAAAAACGAATTCTGTGTAAATGATGCCTAAAAACGTATTTTTGTAATATGAGGAAAAAATTTATTTTTGTCTTGTGGCATGAGTTCCTTCCCATGTTGTACTAAGTAATTTCCTTGTTATATTAAGGGATAATGTACATCCAGCCGGTTGTTATCTCAGAATAAACCCCGACGTGAAGCGGCTACTTGCCACATAAGTAAATAATTAGACACGAAATATTGATTTGAGTTGAAATACTTGAACAAAGCTTCCGTGAAGACAGCAGTAGCGAGCAAGCGGCAAATTCAAACTAGACGGACATTTAAGGGAAACGGTGCAGTCAAACCACTTATTACACAACATTTCACCACAAAAATAATTAAGGCAATAAAAGAATTAAGACAAAAATGTTTTAAAACCTAACCAGTTTGTTAGTTCTCTTATAATCCATTACAGAGTACAAAATAATCGTAGCAAAATGGCAGCAGCTGCGTTTGTATATAACGAGAGCGAGTCTGCGATACCAGGACGACATAATTAAATTGTACACCATTTTGAATCGAGTTTTAATATTTTATTAGCTAAACAAACGCAAAGCTTCCACCAAGAAAAATCAGTTCAAGCAAGAGTGCAGCGCCGACTGCTGTTACCCGGATGAGCCTGTGTTATTAGCTTTTACCGGTTGTTATCGAGGGATAACATACCTCGGAATGTCGCGACTGACCAATCAGAATCAAGTATTCCACAGAGCCGTGTAATACATTTAGTTAACGAATTTTGGAAACAAATTAGTACTGCAATATCTTTTTTCCCACATGTCATGTGTAACTCTGTAACACTGATCTGACATCCACATTTTTCTGGTGTTTGCCTTTTGTAGTTGTTTGTATGTATTTTGTTACATTAAATCATGTCTTAGCTGAAGAACGTCTGAAACACCTGGCTTAAAAAGCAGCTGTTACAGAAGTTGATACTCATGTCAGTGGGTTATAATGGCTGCAAAAAGGCACATTAAATGGGCGTTATTTTATGTACAAAGAAGCATGGTTACATTATCACATGAATACCAAGCTGACTTCATTGTTACCTGATTGACTGATTGAGTCAGAGGGGATGGAAACAATTGGGAAAAGGGGTGGAAAAACACAAGGACAAAATTTTTAATGACAATTTGACAATTTGATCTGGAAGAAATCGGCCCCAGTTCGAGGCTGTAATGGAATCTTTTTTAGGACAAGCGGCAGCACATTTTGGGACCCTCCGGTAAACATTTCCTTTCAGTTCTGACCCACTGTGAAGCACAATTTAACTTTGGCTACAAGGAAGACATGGACACACAAAGGACTGCCGATGTTCTCCAAGGAATACTGATGATGCTGATGGAAGACAAGGAGTCAGAGTATTTTAGCAAGGATCATGTCAAAAATGATTTCCAGTTTCCTGATGTGATTTAAATGTGTATTAACCACTGGCCCTGTGATAGTCATTGTAACCATAAATCAAACTTAGCAACTTTTAAAAAAAAAAATCATACAGAGAATTAATTTTTAATGATACATTTAAGTAATCATACTTTAAGGATTTCTCACATATGGTAAGTTTGAGTAATTCCTACTCAATTATCCTACTCATGGCTGATGTAAGCAGAATAACAATTGATCATTTGGCCATCAAAAGTGGCTCAAAAGACAGAAAAGACATACTGAAAAATAAGCTCAAATATGAAAGAAAACCTACATGATAAAACGGCTCCCCGAAAGCTCTTTGATGGCCTGTGCTGTTTACTGTGGTGACCAGTGTTTGTTGGTTTCTTCTCAGGGAGATAGAGAACAGGATTGAAGCTGATCATCCAGTGGTAAGTACTTGATCATCTAAAAGCATTTGAAATTTGAGTTCAACTAAGACATGCCTTTATTACGATTAGTACCAAACTACTAACCCTACGTTGGACGGATTCACGAAACATTCTTAACCTCCAACATGTCTTAAATCCCCAGAAGTAAGATGCTTAATGAATTTATTGGGTTGTTTCAAATATTAAGCATTAGAACTTAAAACTAGCTACAAATAATACACATTATTTTTACTAGAGATGTGCATGAATACTTCAAGTGATACCATTGATTGATAATGTAAACAGTGATCGGTCATGATTATTCATGAACTATATATAAATACAACCCAG